AATCCTTCTCAAGTAGGGCCGCTCTCTGATGACCAAGCAGTCAACTACATGAGCCAATAGGGGCCATTCTTATTCAAACCACCACCTTCTACTCTCTGGCTCCCATAGGTTTGTAGCTGTGGGAGTTTCCCTGCAGACTTTACAGCAGGCAGGGATAAACAAACAATTGATCAGGGTGAGACAAGAATGAAACTCAGCTCAGCCTGGTTTTATTGTAACCAACGCTGGACCAGGACTTCTAGCCTCTGGCCCAGATCATAGTACTTTAGCCATATGTGAGCACAGCACAATTTTGGGGGAAAAAAAGCATTCAGATAACAATTAACTCAGCCCCATGAGTACAACAAAGCTTAAGACCTGTTTACACTGAAGCTCTTAGCAAAGTACCTATGGCTTCGTTGGTAAGATGAGTTCTTGTTGACTTAGAAACAATGTTCAAGATAAGGGAGAATGACTGAGGTAAGCACATGCCTGTGGGTGTCAGGACTGTCCTGGCCCTAAGATAACATAGAGGTCACTTAGGCTGTTGTAAAGCACAGGTGACATCACTCATAAGAATGGGTTTATGGTCTAAAAACAATGCTCCAGATTTAGGGGGATAGGGTCTTGGAGAAGTAAAAACATAAATTCTGGGAGATATGAACAGAGCCTCTCATCAGACAGCAAAGGATTACCAGGATGAGCAGCTACATGCCTCACTCAGTTGAAGATGTAAACTGTGTGTTTAACATTCCTGGCTTCTCCAGAGCTTATCTGTGTACACAAGACATTTTGCCCTCTACATGTAGCCATACCATAATGTAAAAATGCATTTAGTCCAACGTCAAAAGTCCCCATAGTCTATCAGTCTCAACACTCTTTAAAAGTTCAAAGTTTATTCTGAGACTCGTGGCAAAGACTCTTAACTGTAACCTCCCACACATCAAAACCAAAAGGCAGATAGATCACATACATACTTTCAACATATAATGGCACAAGATATACATTTCATTCCAAATGGGAGGAAAGAGGACATAGTGAAGAAATACTGGACAAAAGCTACACCAAAAACCAGCTGGGCAAACTCCAAACTCTGCATCTCCATGTCTGACGTCAAAAAGCTCTTCAGAACTTCAACTCCTTCTTTGTTAACTGCAACACACCTCTCTCCCTTGGGCTGGTTCTACTCCCTGTCAGCAGCTCTCCTTGACAGGTATTCCATGACTCTGGCATCTCCAACACCTTGGGGCTGCCAACACAATCCAGGCCTCACCTTCACAGCCTCATTTAATGGCCTCTATGGGCCTCCATGCAGGGACACCTCTGACATATGCCTGGCTCAGTGGCTTTCCTTAGCTGCAGAGGGAGATTCCACAACCTCTTTTATTATATCCTTGACTCTAAAGCCAGAATCACGTGGCTGAAGCTGCCATGTTCTGCTGCTTGATGGGGCTGGAACTTGGCCCCTCATTCAAATACATTTTCATCAGCTTTCTGATTTTGATGGTTCCCTTCACCGCTTAAACTTTCATTTAACTCCTTTTCAGGAGTTGGAAGTTTAGCTGGGTGGGGTCTTGCCCTGAGGTCACCACTCCCTTTATTCCATTTAGCATTAGGCTTTTCTCTAAATTTTTTATCTCCCTGAGCACTGGACTTAGCTCCATTACACTTTCTGGTGCTCCTTTTTTCCTCAAACTGTACATTTTGATCTTCCCTTGCTAAATTTGCTCCTTTTCTTTATAGATATGATTTATAGAGTAGCCAATAATAACCATATGACATGGTCAATACCAGGCTCTCTTGAAATAGTCTCTGCCAACATCATTAATCCAAAGCTCTTCAATTTAGCCTCAGGCAGCCATGTTCTTCACCAAAATATCACAAGAATGGTCTCTACATCACTTATTTTCTTCCCATCTGAAACCTCTTGAGCTGGACCATTATAATATACATTGCTCTCAGCAACACTGTCTTCCACACTCCTGCTAACATGGCCCATTAAGCCCTACTTAAAATGTTCAACTGCTTTCCTAATCCAAAGTCCGAATTCTGCCAACAAGCATCATAAACAGGTCTGTCACAACAACACCCCATTCCTGGTACCAACTCTGTTTTAGTCAGTGTCCTATTGCTGTGAAGAGACACCATCACAACAGCAACTCTTATGAGAGAAAGCATCTAATTGGGGCTGGCTTACAGTTTCAGAGATTTAGTCCATTATCATCATGGTGGGGAGCATGGTGGCACACAGGCAGACATGGTGCTGTAGAAGCAGTTGAGAGTTCTACATCCAGATCTGTAGGCAGCAGGAAGAGTGAGACACTGAGTGTGGCTTGAGATTTTGAAACCTCAAAGCCCAGCCCCAGTGACACACTTCCTCCAACAAGGCCACACCCCCTAATCCTTTCAAATAGTGCCACTCCCTTGTGACCAAGCATTTAAATAAAAGAGTCTTTGGGGGCCATTCTCTTTCAAACCGCCACACTCTGTCTCCTTTATGGTGTGAGACCTTGGCTAATAATTATTTTCTACAAGTCTTTCTCCTTGCTTGTAAACAGAGGAAACAGTAGTATCAGTTTTATATAAAAATTAACATCGGCAAAGCACTTAAAACTAAGCCCACATGAGTATCTGTTAAATGAAAGATCCTTTTTATTCTATAGCTGTTAAAATGCCCTTGCAAATATCCTTCCCTACAATTATTTAATTTTTTGTGTGAATTTATAGCAATTTGCTTTTATGGATTTGTCTGTCTTCTTTTTGTGAGTTTGGTTCCTCGTTTTAAAGAACATTTTTATCTCCCTCTTTGCCTCTTTTCCTCCCTCCCTCCCTTCCTGTAAGAAAAAAGTGCTAGCTCAAAGGAGATGTTTTCACAAAATCCCATGCTTTAAAATGGGTGGTGGACTTTCTGAACACCTTCTATGTACATCATGTGGCCCATATTCTTTCTTTTCCTACAAATAAGTTCTCTCAGTCTTACTGAACTTCAAACTTGCATAGCTAACTTTATTCCAGTCTGTTCTAGAAGCTATTAATGACTTCAAAATCGCTTGGATCAATAAGAGCTGGGTACTTACTGTAGTGTTTTCTGAACCACTGTAATTGTGGGCATCAGTTTTCACCAACATGGTGTACTGCTTAATTCTCATCTCCTCAGCACTAGGCAGTTATTGGCAAGGATGACCAATTTTACTCGATTCAGCTGATCATCTTCATGATTTACTTTCTACCCTAGCATCATATACTTTTCCCTTTCATAACAATTTTGAGCTTAGAGGTAACTCACCTCCTTTATCATGTGCTCTGTGGCCACCACTTTCCTTTAATATTTAAATACAAGAGGGTCCCCTACCAAGGGCAGTTGCCCATGGATCCAAAGAATGTATCTAGAAAAGCAAGCCACACTGACCAAAGCTATTTCTCAACCTCAGAGTCAGCTGGTTAAAGAGGCTGGGCTCCAGTACCCCAAAGAAGCAGACTGTACTGAGCATTTGTTCCTGGGATGTGGGTGCTACTCCAAAAGGTCATTGATTCCCAAAAAGGAATTCACGTACCACTTGTGTGTACAAGATGACACTGATGAGTCTCAACACTTTGTTTTCTTCTGAGATCATGCTAGTGTATTTTACAAAACTCTATTAGTATGGAGTTGAAGAGAAAGTGTAGTTAATAAAATGTTACCTACACAAGCACAAAGACTTCAGTTTGCTCCTGAGAACCCACATAAAAAGGCTAGAGCATGTTTGTCTTCCCAGCACCAGGGAGGCAGAGATGGGTAGCTCCCTGGGGGCTGGCTGCCCATCCAGCCTAGACTACTTGGTAATACCCAGGTCAACGAACGATCGCACCTCAAAGATGGGTGGCTCCTGAGAAACACGTGAGGTTGACCTCTGGCCTCTGCACACATATGCACACACGCACACATACACAAAGTGCACATGCACCTGCACACACATACTACACACGTACACAAATACATTAGTAGTCAGGCAAGGAGAAGGGGGTTCTTGGGGGGGAATGTGAGATGGGATAATTGATAGATGTGAGGTGAAGTAGGAAAGAACAATGGAATGAATAAAAGGCCACATCCAAGTGTTGTGCTTGATGTCATTGACGTATCCTTGACTAAAAGTGTGAGGCAGGAGGAGGACCGACTTTAAATCACTGACCAGCTCCAAAGATATCCAGACAGAATAGTCATGAGGCTAGCAGCAACATGTGTCTGCAGCTTGGAAGAGAGGAGAGATCTTAGCAGAGTGGAGGAGGGGCACAATGGAATCTTGGAGAAAGGAGCAGGCAGAAAAAGAAGTGTCAGAAGAGACCGAGAAGCGTAGAGGCCAACTGTAAAGAGAGGGTTTGGAGGAAAGAGACCATTATACCGAGTGTCCCAAGTCCCTGGAATGGCAGGGTCATGCACCACCATACCTGCCCTCCATCCTCCCCAGCTCCCTGTTCCTCCTGATGGGAATGGCCAGGCAGAGAGAGATGTGATCCACCCACCTTCCCAGCCTTTTGGTTCCTCCATGTGGCTCTGAGCACAGCTGTTCTCACTCTCCAAACCCAAGCCAGCAGCTCACATTGCCAGGGCCACAAGAGCTCCAGAGGGAAGCCTCATCCATGGAAGGCCCCTCAAGGGCACCACAGACTCTTTGAGGGAGCAGGCAGCCTCCAAACTTTTCCCAGAGCAAGAGGCCCACTGTGGGAGTGCAGAGGCAAGGGTTGAGCTAGGTAGTGAGACGGAAGCCTGAGAGGCGACATGGGGCGGAGCTCCTTCTGCTGAAATGCTGGTGGCCCCAGGCTAAGAGCAGAGTGGAAGGAACAATAACTCAGAGGAGCTGAAGACAGTAGGCGATAAAACCACACCCACCTCCCTACTTACCCACTGTGAGCTCTCATGTTTCAAGAAGCCTCCATCATATAATGATTATATTGGTACAAAACAGAAATGGCAGAATTGAGTGTCCTGCCTCTCTGTGATCCCACTCTCTATTGGCTGCCCCACCTCTCTGCTATCCCAGTGTCTAGGCAGTGATAAAGATCTGTGGCAGGAAGATCCAGACTTCGGTGAAATGCCCAGTGAGAGGCATGAGGATGCTTGCCACTCGGGACACCACGTTGCTGCTCCCCACAGTCAAGCACCTGAAAACACCAGGAGAATTAAGACACTGGTAACAACAACAGCGGACAAACAGAGCAAAGGGGTGCAGCGGGTGAGAGATCCACCACCTGCCACCCCCTTCTCACTCTCCCTGAGAAATAATCAAACTCAGAAACAAGTCAAAACCAGCTACGACTTCTACCTTCATTCTGTGAAACAATTGTGTATGTGAGCACGCATATAAGATAAGAAAGGCATAAGCCATCTTTAATCTGCTATTTAAATGAAGCCCATATGTATACAAATCCAACTTAATATCAAGGATCAGACACATTTGCTTAGGGTAGAGTATGGTAACTTGGGAGAACAAAATATTTGTCTATAGTCTGCTCTATTCATGTTAAGCAATATCTTTAAGATTTTTTTGTTTTGTTTTGGGGTGTGTGTGTGTGTGTGTGTGTGTGTGTGTGTGTGTGTGTGTGTGTGTGTGTGTATGCATGCATGCGCACACACCTGGGGAAGTCAGAAAAAGCAGGTGTTGGATCTCCTGGAGCTAGAATTATAATCTGAAGTGGTTAGGGTTAATGTACAGTTTCCCACCACAGACTCAAGGATTTGACTCAGGATACAACTCAAAAGGGTAATATAAGGGCTAACGTTAACCTGGAAGCCCCACTTGCCCAAGGACAGATCACTTCCTGGAATGCTGGGGGCTGTTGTTCATGTAAAATAACAATCACATCTTTTCACCTCAGTAAACAAGGTTGGTTGTCCCCACTGCACAGGTGTGCTTGATCACACATAGGTGGGCAGTATGTAGGCAGGAAGTACGTCAGGATGTATGCTTGTCCCCATTGGACAAAGGCAGGAAGTACTGTAGCCTTGTGGGTTCTGCCTTTATGAGCATCTGACTGACTTGATTCATCCCCATTCTCTGGGAGTCCCAGGTATGGATGTGGCCAGTGTTTATCTTCCTGGCCAGTATTTAACAAAGCTTGCTTTAATTAGACAATTGTAGATTTGGTCTTTCTCCTCACAATTTTCAGGTTTACCACAGTGAGCCACCTGATGTGAGTTCGGTTCAATGCTACAGGTCAAATCCCAGTTCTCCCATATGCTGGAAGTCATGGTCTGAACATGAAATGTCCCCCACAGGCTCATGTGTTGGAACACCTGGTCCTCTGCTGGTGGCACTGTTTGAAAAGGTTATGAGCTCTTAAGAAGTAGAGCCTTGGAGGAAGTGTGTCACCAGGGTAGGCTATGAGGTTCTATAGCCTGGCCCCCCACCTCCTTTTGCTCTCCCTTAAGGACTGTTGATGTAATAGGACAGGCCAGCTTCATGCTCCTGCTTCCAACCCTTTCTCACCAGGATGGACTGTACCCCAAGCCCCAAATTATAAACCAAAAATAAACCCTTTCTCTCTCAAAATGGATTTGTTGGGGGATTTTACCACAGCAACGGAAATAAAACTGATACCAAGCATCAGGAAAATTGGTACCAAGTGTTGGGACCATTGCTGTGTGAGCCTGACCATGTGGATTTTAGGTCTTTGTTCTATGAAGGAATGCGGGAGATTTTGGAACTCTGGGCTAAAAAAAAGCCACCGAATGCTACAAGCAGAGCCTAATGGGCCATTCTAGTGGGAGCCTGGAAGACAGTGATGCTGAGAAGTGGAGAGTGGAAGCTGTGCTGGGTGGTTCTGTGTGTCAGCTTGACACAAGCTAGAGTCATCAGAGGAAGGAGCCTCAGCTGAGGAAATGCCTCCTTGAGATCCAGCTGTAAGGCATTTTCTCAATTAGTGATCAGTGGGGGAGGGTCCAGCCCATGGTGGGTGGTGCCATCCCTGGGCTGTTGGTCCTGGGTTCTATAAGAAGGTGGGCTGAGCAAGCCATGGGAAGTAAGCCAGTAAGCAGCACCTCTCCATGGCCTCTGCATCAGCTCCTGCTTCCGGGATCCTGCCCTGTTTGAGTTCCTGTCCTGACTTCCTTCCCAACTTGCTTTTTTTTTTGTCACAGCAATAGAAACTCTAAGACAGATGCCTCGCTCGGGAATTCAGGGGAAAATGAGAACTAACTATTCATGTCCTATTTTAGCAAAGAATCTAGCTACATTCTGGTTATGTTCTAAGAATTTACATGAGACCAGATTTAAAAATAACAGACTAATACCATGACAGCATAATATTGAATCTATGGAAGGTTATTATCGATTACTCTTATGCAGATCTGTAGTTAAAATGAGCAATAAATAGGGCAGAAAGTAATAAAAAAATGTGCAGCTTAGAGAGGAAAATAACTCTAGCAAGCTTAAATTTGCAGCCAGGGCATGTACTGAGAAAGAGGCTGTATTAAAGAGAAGCCTTCTGCTCTTTTGGGAAACAGGAAAAGCACCATCCAGGGCTTGTGAACTGGGGGCCCAAGAGCATTTCTTCTCCTGGAAGGCAACTGCCGGGGAAGTTTTCAACCAGCTTCAGCACACAGAAGGTGCTGGAACTGTGGTCTACAGTGGCCATTCTCAATCCCCAGCTGGAAGCAGAACTTGTCAGTGTTCTTTACATGATTCTGACTTTAGAGGCATGGAAGATGCAAAATTGAGAGAGTCATGAATTCTTCCTCCACAGTTTTCAGAGAGCTGATAAGGTCAGGCAATGTATGCCAGGGGCAGAGTCCCTGGGAAGAAGCCCTGAGAAGCCACTGCCTGGAGAAATGAAGGGGAAGCCTAGGTTACAGTGATATTGGAGAGGCCAAAGCTGTGGAGTGTCTGCCAAGGCATGCTGCATACAGCGGGTGGGACCAGCACGAGAGAAAGAGAGGGGTGTTGTAGGCAACAACGCTGGGTGAGTGGATCCACCTAAGCTTTTGAAAATGAATCTCTAGACACTGGACCCGAAGCTACAGGATTTGGTGTTTGCTCAGCTGGATTTCAGGCTAGCTTTGGTACAATCTTTCAATTCACTGAGAAGGCCAGGCAAATACCATGACAGGCTCCTAATAACTCAGTTAAAAACTAGGCTTCAGTTCCTGCTTCTTGAAACTGGACAGACAGTTTCTGAGGAAGTCATGAACAAAGGGCAATCAATCACCAACATCTCCCTGGCCCCCCAAAAGAGATGCGGGGAACTGAACGTACCAGACCTGAGTCAGCCCTCCCAGCAGCTCAAGGTAATAACCGAATAAGGACAGAATCTGGGACTTGTCCATACTTGCCCCAAAATGGTAAAACTATGGCCTTAGCCACCCCCTGCTAGCCCTAACCAATCAGGAAGGTACTGATATGGTTGCCACTCACACAAGCCAATCCTAGATAAAATGACCTCACTGCCTTTAGAATTCCTTTAGCTGTATATAAAAGGAGCCGGCAAGCTTCTCTTGGGGTTGCTATTTTGCCTTTGTGTCAGATGTGTGACTCCAGCATCCTGGAACTCTTACTCTTGAGATAGTAAACACTCTTGTTGATTGCCTACATGGATGGTGATCTTTTGGGGGACTTCTCTAGGCCCTAACATTCACCATGCCTCAATTTCTCCCTTTGGGGATAGGAATATATACTTTATACCACCATATATTGGAAGTAGATAATTTGGTTTTGTTTGTCTTTACAGTGGGTCAGAGTTGAGAGGTTACCTTGAGTCTCAAAAGAGACTTTGGACTTTTAAACACTGTTGGGACTGTTAAAGACAACTACAGGGACTTTTCAAGTTGGACTAAACACATTTTGCATCATGAGATGGCCATGAGCATTTTGGGGCCAAGGGAGGAACGCTGTGTTTTCAATAGAAAACATCTCCTGTGGACTCTTATGTCTGAACAATTCATCTCCACCAGCTTGTGGCACTGTTTAGGAAGATAGGGAATTTAGGAGGTGGAGCCTTGCTAGGCAAAATGTGTCACTGGGAAAAGCTTTGAAATGACGCTAACACAGATGCTCTACCACTGAGCCACATTGCCAGCCCAACAAAGATTGCTTTTAATGTGCATCTTTCGAGTCATTGGTACTGCGGGCCTGGCTGTTCACGTTTGTAATCCCGGCATTTGGTGAGGAAGCTGAGGCAGGAGGATTGCCACAAGTTTGAGCCTACCCTGGGCTATAGTGTGAGACTCTGTCTCAAAGGACCAACAACAACAAAAGTCAATGGTAATTTATCTTTTCCTAGGTCATACGCATTTGTAAGTGACTAACTTATTTAAGTGTGACACTCTTCTGAGAATTCACACATATGCAGTTTCACATGCAATCTTAAGAAGTTCAGGAAGCCTACAGAATTTGTTAAAGATGCCTTGTATTAAATATTCATATACTGGGTTCTCCTCCTCCCTCCCCTTCTTTCTTCCCTCCCTCTGTCCCTCTGTCCCTCTGTCCCTCTGTCCCTCTGTCCCTCTCTCGCTTCCTATCTGTCTGGCTTATTTTTGAGGAAATGTACCTGTGGCTGTAAACTAGCCAACTAAATAAAAATGGTCTAAAAAAATACCATCATATACATAATGGCAATGCCAACCAACATGGTTTGTTTGGATTGCCATCTTTTGGCATATAATACACATTCTCTCAGCAGATATATACACTGTGAACAGATCTGGAACTAGGGGAACCCATGGCGTCCCTCCCCCTCCCACCCCACCCCACCCACCACCATCCCAGGCTGGGCAGAAATCATCCAAGAGCTCAGAGGCACCCAGAGGCCACAACCAACCATGTGCCCTGTTATATAGAATGCTATCGTCTCTGCACCGTCAGGGTGCCAGCCTAAGTTGGCAAGTATACAACCCCCCTCTGTGCTGTCATGCCAGTGTCCCCAATGTTCTCTGCGTTCTATCCTGCCTGCTGTTGGGTAGCTGCACAGGGCTGCCACTGTCCTGGTGTGATTTGAGAGGACTCCCAGAACCCCTTGCCCTGAACACTTTCTCCTACTCCATTCCTAAAGTTCAGAGCAAGCAGCTCACCCCTTGCTAATGCCCAGATCTGTTTCCACAAATGTCCTTGCGAATCTCCACTGAATGGCAGAGAGGGTCCAGAAATGCAGAGCTGAGTTCCTCGTGTCTT